GGCACGGGAACAGGCTGCCCAGAGAAGTTGTGGATGCCTCATCCCTGGAAGTGTTCAAGGCCAGGATGGATGAGACTTCAAGCAACCTGGTCCAGTGGAAGTTGTCCCTGTCCATGTCAGGGAACTAGCATGGAACTAGATGATCTTTAAGGTCCCTTCCAACTCAATCCATTCTATGGTATGATTCTATGATTCACTAGGAAGTTACAGCTGCAATGAAACAGGTTACCATGGGTGATGGAATCTCCACCCTCGGTGGTTTTCAAAGTATTCAGGAACGTGAGAGCTGATGTGATCAAAAATAGGCTTTGAATAAGAGTTAGGGAAAACAGGCTCTAGATATCTCTCCCAAACGACACTTCTATGATTCTGCACCATGCAATAAATGAGGCCTGGGACCCTGAATGCTTGAAAAGTAAAATTAAATGCTGAATAACTACCTTATTCTTGAACACCATCCATCTATGTGCTTGAACAAAGCAGAAGCCAGTTGGTGAGAAGTACTAATGTACAATTCAACATTGCAGTGAGCACTCACTGTGACCCATTCTAACTCTGGCACTTACTACCATAAGAACAGTCAGTGATGACATTTAACTTTACTACCGTTTAGCAGCAAAAATAGAGTAATTGGAATACACAGTATCTGTAAGTGTGCTTCCTCCTCAGGAAACATGTCTTTTCATCTTGGCATTTATATGACATGCAAAGACCATTATTTTCTTCTATAAATCATTCCACCACTTTAGATTTTTTAAAGAACATTCTGAATTACTACAAACCATCATGGACTGTAGAGTGATCTACATGGAGTTAGTCTACTGCCTAAGTATACACCTTCCCAGGCCAAGGCAGTGGATGGCACTACCCTCCTTAGCAGAGAAAGAAGTATGAATAGACTAGGAAGGCCTTCAAGAATCTGCATTGTCTGCCTCTACAGAAGTATCAAACACAAATATTCTTCACATATACCTACTTGCTCTGACCTATCAGCAATACACAATTTACAGAGCTCCTATAAAATTCATCCTACAGCTCTGTTATCTTTGCCTTGCAGTGTTTTCTCACCCTAAACTACACTGTTGCCATTTAAGAGCATTATTTCCAGTTCTGTCCACAGTGGAGTTGAAACATGAACAATATCATCCTCCTTTATATGCGTAACTGTCATGGTCTAACTCCAGCTAGTAAACCATGAAGTCATTCTCAAAAATCCTCCCCCTTCTTCTCTAGCAGAGGTGGAGAACCAGAGGAAAAAGAACTAAGGAAGCTCATAAAATTGAGATAAGAACTATTTACTAATAGAATCTAAATGAATACAAGCAAATACTAATAATTAAAATAATAAAAAATAAAACATATGATACAATTATGACACAGCTGCTCACCACCCACTGACCAATGCACAATCAGGTGTTGAGAAGTGAGAGTCAGAGCCAGAGAGCCCAAGAGCCGCAGCCCGAGAGCGATCACAGCCTGAGGATGTCGCAGATTCTGAGCGAACCTTACCAGCGATAGCATGACCGGGAAAACTAAACAAACCCACCCACTCCCTCATGAATGAGCCAACACAGGAATTAGCACAGCAAGTAACACAGGAGTCAGGGAGAGTGTTAGCAACTGCCAGGAAGTAAACAAGCAAGTGAGTAAGAAAGAGTAATGGTTCCCAGAAACCCTCCTCCTCTATGCCCCAAGCATGACATACTATGGAATGAAATACTTTCTTGGTCAGTCTGGGTCAGCTGTCTGAACTGTGTGTCCCCCACACTGCCTGTAGCGAGACAGCGAGAGCAGTATCAGAAGCAGAGAAAGACCTTGAATTCAGTGCAGCCATTCCCCAGTGCCAGCTAAGAACTTATCAGTACTGCTCTGCATCCAGGAACACAGCTTCCTAGCAGCCATGGTAAAGAGTTAACCCTTTCCTGACTGAACCCAGCACAATAACCATGCACAGACACCTATTACCACACCTCGACTCAGATCCAGACTCCCTTTAGTCCTTCCCCTCCCCCATCCCTTAAACATAACTAAAACATATCTAATACTTTTAATCTTTCCTCCTAGAACTCAATTGATTTTCATTGTCCTCCCTGGGGTACTTTTCAAATTGCAGTCTACAGTGAGGCGCCTGATACTGCTACAAGAGTCTTATTTCTCTGCCCATATTACTTCTCAGCAGCACTAGAGCCTAGGAGAAGATCAGTAAATCCAGTCCTTGCAGGCCCTGTTCAATTCGTACTTTTCAGTATGCTATTTGCTCTTTTCATAACTTATGATACTTAAGAGTCCTGAAGTGCATTTTATCCTCAAAACCATCCCTTG